AATCAATCCTAAATGTATGAATGATGATATGAAACAATATTGAATATAAATATTATTGAAAAGTGTTGAAAAATTCAAATTTTTACTTCAGAGTCTACTTTATATTGTTGGTTCTGTGGTTTCTTGGAAATAAATAAATATTTTTCTGGTTATCAGTTGAAAACATAATTGCCGTTGAAGATGTGTGTCTTATGAAATTCGATAAGCGACTGGCAACACTGATGTTAATAGCTAAAATGTGACAACAACATAATGAAGTTTGACATTTCTAAGGATAAACGTACTCACAACGTTATGATATACAAGTGCTATTTGTTTTGTTCACAGTAAGTTGAGTAAATCGATTTTACCAAAGAAAAGAAATTTCAAGAGAAGGTTTTCGTTGGTTTTTTTTCAGAACTCTCGCCGTGGATTGTCTCAAAAAAATGTGTCGATGAACTCAGTTCTTTGTATGGCGATGAAGCACCATCAAAAACCATGGTATATCGCTGGTATAGTGAAGTTCATCGTGGTCGTAGCTCAGTCGCCGACGAGTTCCGTGAAGATCGTCAAAAATCGGTTGTTGTGCCAAAAAAACATGTTTTGTGGCACATCGTAATGTGACATATTGCGACATATTGCACGATGCATCTTCACACATTGGTTCCAATATGTGTGATTGATGACTTGTTTACTTTATGGTAATTCATGAGCACTTAAATGAAATGGATAAAAACACTTTTGTCTAAATACCACTGGAAAATTTTATTTTACGACCGGTTTCGGGTTTGATCCCATTATCAAGTATAAAACTGACAATGGGATCATTCAATTTTGTATGAACACTTCATTGTAGAAACATTTGTTCTCGTTGGATACCCCGCTTGTTGAAGTTCCAGAAAAAAGTCGCATATGTTTTTGCTACTTCTTGAACATGTACTACAAAGTATACAAGTGAGGATTTTTCCAGCAGAAGATCTACAAATACAAGACGAGATAGACTGTATGTAATCATTCAATCCAGAGCGGTCAGGGGTATTGATTCTGCTATTTTTCTGCTCACGAAGAGTATTCAATAAGAACTCCAAGAGTTCGGAACAATCCTCTTGTTGTCCTAGTGGGCTTCAAAGACTCCAGGAAATCGGTTGAAGGGGAAAATGATACATTCTTACTTATGAAACAGCAACAATAATTAATAAGTGCTCTGGGTCCACTTGATTGATTCCAGAGACGTATTTGCTTTTCCAGCTGCAGAAAAACCTGCAGCATCATATCATCTGATGATCTGCCAATGTCATCTCTTTCATGTAATGAAAAATAGGATGTCTCCAAAGGCTCCAATAAATTCAAAATATCGCTAGAATATTTAGTGACACGACCATCGTCAAACTTGAACCAGTCCGTTTCGTCTTTGACCAATGCCTAATAATGACCAGATTCATGGAGCTTATAATAGTGGTCTGCTGGATTGAAGTGATCATCTATTTCGAACCTTCGTAAGAGTTTCGTGCTTCCGTCAGATATTGAGTCATGTTTGAAGATCTTCAGTATTATTACTAGATTGACTGGTACCTCAGCTACACTTGTTGTCTTATAAAAGTCAGTTAGTTTGGCGAATATTTGACGATACAGTTGATCATCATCCGTTAAAAGTTATATTTTCAGATTATTCAACGATAAGCTTTGCACGGACTGGTTATCAGTCATATTACGCTAGTTGCACACACACCGATTTTGGACGGCCAGTGTAAAATTGGCCGATATTTTATTGGTAGCGGGTGCTTGCACACTCACCGGATTCTTATCGGTCCAACAATCAGTTGCTTTGTTGTCGTAATCAGCACGCACTACCAAAACGAAGTTAATATGTAGTAACTACAATTTCACCGAGCATTCGAGACTGGAATGGTCGGTAAAAAACCGGTGAGTATGCAAGAGTCGGCGTGTGTGCAAGGTCCTGTTCCCACATGTGGTTACGATAGTTGCACACACACCGATTTTGGACGGCCGACTTTGTACTGGTCGTCCAAATTCCAATAGTGAACCACATGTGGGAACGGGACCTTGCACACACGCCGACCGGTGATCGTCGCCGGTAAAATACCGGTGAACAGCTGTCCACTGCCACTGTATCGCCGGCAGTACCGGGAAGTAGTGGCGTACATGACTAAATACACTCTTGCATACTCACCGGTTTCTTACTGACCATTCCAGTCTCGAATGCTCGGTGAAATTGTAGTTACTACGCATTCACTTCGTTTTGGTAGTGCGTGCTAATTACGACAACAGAGCAACTGATTGTTTGACCGATAAAAATCCGGTAAGTGTGCAAGCACCCGCTACCAATAAAATATCGGTCGATTTTATACTGGCCGTCCAAAATCGATGTGTGTGCAACTAGCGTTAGGAAATGCTTGTTGAAGTTCCAGAAAAAAGTCGCATATGTTTCTGCTACCTCTTGAACATGTACTACAAAGTATACAAGTGAGGATTTTTCCAGCAGAAGATCTACAAATACAAGACGAGATAGACTGTATGTATTGATTCAATCTAGAGCTGTCAGGAGTATTGATTCTGCTATTTTTTTGCTCACGAAGAGTATTCAATAAGAACTCCAAGAGTTCGGAACAATCCTCTTGTTGTCCCAGTGGACTTCAAAGACTCCAGGAAATCGGTTGAAGGGGAAAATGATACATTCTTACAAAACTGCAGCTGCATGAACAGATCTTTGAGTTTCGTGAATAAGTAGGGAACATTCTCTTTCATCATTAAAACCTCGTTCTTGAAATTCTTCGTCATAAACAACATTTGTAAAATGCTATTCATGTAGCAAGAGTTTCCTAAATTATTATACAATTTTATTATACAATTTCCAGGGTAACTGTCTGCTGATTCGTAAGGAAGGATATGTTCCACAGAATCTGCATCAGAACCATTTCTCAAGCTGCAATCGATCCTTTCATGTGATGAAGGGTTTATAATTTACCAATCGTTCGAAAAAGGGCTTGCATCAAGTGGTGTAAGGAAATGATTACATGACCGTGGTGCTTCTAAAGACCTTTAGACATCGAGACAGGTAACGAATCATGGACATATGCGTATGTCGGAAACAAAACATCAAAGTTGTTCTTGGATGAAACATAATAAGCAAAGTGTTACCTGTTTCTTCGACCCAATGGGTCATGTGGCCATCATTCCGCTCGGGCAACGTAGAACAGTCAGTTCTAAGTGGTACACAACCATTTGTTTACCGGATGTCTCCGGAGAAATTCGTAGAACTAACCGCCGAACACAAATCATTCTCTCACACAAACAGGTAAATTTTTAAGCAGTCATCACATCGAAATGATGAATCATCCTCCTGATTTGGAACCCGTGGTCAACCATCCACGTGTGCCGAAGAAGCAGTTGAAGCGTTCAAAAATCACGTTTTAGAGGTGTCTCAGGAAGAATAGAAGAACTGCTTTGATAAATGGTTAAAACGAATGCAAAACTGTATTGATCATCAAGGGGAATATTTCGACAAACAGTAAAGCCATTTCCATTGGAAAATGTTATTATTATTTGCTCTTCCCGAAATATAAATAGTACCCCTTGAATCGTATTCATACTGCTTACAATTTAGATTCCATCAGAAAAGAAGACGTAGGGAACCAATTGAAAATTTCACATGTGAGAAACAAGGAACAAATTCAGGAATACGTTACATATTCACGAAAACCTATATCAATCACTCAAATGGAAGTGAGAATGGAAGATTCAATGAACTCATATATATGAGAAAATCAATTGAAGAGATTGGAAATATACTGGAGAAAATGAGAAGAGAAGACCACTGGAAACATACAGAATGCAGAAGTTGCAAACTGATAGGAGAGGCACCAGAAGAATAACAAATGAAAATAATTACTGCAAGACTGGAAATGTAGGATATGTACCTAATTGAAGTAATATATATCAATAAAGTCACGAACTTGAGCGACGAGATATAGATATCAACTTCAAATTAAATAAGATTGTATACGAAACAAGAACAGAACAACATAGAGTAGATATTATTTCTCTAATGAGACAAGTGAAAGAAAAGCTTTCAAACATTCAATTTTTTTTAGAACTGAAGAAGGCTTTCGTTTACATGCATCGATATATGGAAAATACTTTAATAGAGAAGTATAATAGTAAGCATGTGAAAAAAGACTCGGAACTACTTTGGAATAAAATATAAAAATCTGGCACAAGTGACACAACTCCACCACAATATTGAGCGAAATGCTCAAGAAATAATGAAGAAAAATGTAGGAATACAAGGTACAATCGCATTTTAGTAATATACAAAAAATGCAATATAGTGATCATAAACAATAAAGCAACTTCAAATAATATAAAGAGCAAAGGAAACAAACAGCAGCAATGAATATAATTATTAGAATTTCAAATTACTCATATGAAATTATAAGGAGAAAACATAGAAGATGATAATGGGACACGCTGGTTTGGATTCAATAATCAAATAAGGAAGAAGAGGCTGACTGAGAAGACATGGCTAGGAAATGTGAGAAGTGAGAAGTAATGAGAAAAGGACATAGAAATAATGTTTACAATTATGAGTATGAATTGAAATTGTTGACACTTGTCAAGGCACACTTCACCTCAAATAATTTGAAAAATTATTTGATATTATTTTCTCTTCAAATGTATGGTTGGGACATTGAATCTTTTATTCTCTTGATTCTCTCCATTTTCAACATGTTTCTATTTTGACGTCTTTCATCTACCAATTTGAATTCATTTTGTTATTTTGATCTGATTCATATGTTTGCGTTCAACCAACTGTTTCATTGGATAGAATAAAGAATAAGTTATAATAAGTATTTCCTTTAGTATCTGTCCCCTCTATACAAACGACATTCTCAGAAGATAAACGAGATTTCACAAGAGTTTTCCAATTCGTTGGACATCTATTGAAAATCGATCACATATTCAGTAGAAAATGTGTTTTGAATTATATTCATTTGTTTCAGGTGCAGCACTTCTGAAAATTGTGGAAGTTTACAAAGAAATTCAGGACCAACAAATGAACATTGTGAGTAAAATGAGGAAACTATTTTGCATAATCAAGTAACGTTGTTTCTAGTTTCAAAATGATCAGTGTCACACTGAGAGTGATAACAGATATAATATGTGAAATAAAACTCCAGTCGTGCCATATTCTTTTGCAGAACCTGTTATGCGAAAAGGTGTTATTCACTCAACACATTCAACAATTTGTTTTTATCTGTTTTTTATTTGTGAATCGTCGCACTTATCCATTTCTATAAAGTTATCGGAAAACATTGCAGGACCGATTTTATTTTTTCTCTATTTTTTCATGACATTCATTCTAGAGGTTTATGAAAGTACTTGATAGAAATAATTATTGACGATTCGATAACTTATAAAGATCAAACACGTTCAATTCTGTAACAAGAGATGCTTCAATGAAATTTCTTTATATGAAAGATCCTATCTTTTTTTTATGAGGAATCACCTCCTTAAATGTTTTACACTTATTTAGTTACACCCTGTATATTATTCAGATTACTAGGTAGTGGGAGAAAGTGAAACAAATCTCAAAAACATAGGCTCTCACAACCGGAGTCAGGATTAAAGAAAACCAAGTCAGTGCTTGTGGGACGTGCAAAATGTTTTTTTACAAATTCTATTCGACCGAGGCCCACCAGTTCAGCTTACTTCTCTATAGTGAAACAAAATTCTTTCAATATAAAAAAAAAACTATACATTTGATTTATTATTTTCAATTATTTCTATATTTGCTACTTTGACTGAAGTTCCTGCTCATAATTTTCAACAGAGACTATTTAATGAAATCGTGTCAGTATTTCGTCACTCCCGATTGCTATTTGGGAATATTCAATTCTCTATAGAAGACTGGAACCTTCCAATTGAGAAAATTGAACAATTCAACTCCAACCAGAGACAAATCGATGAAAAAATCATTAGTGTAACCCGTTTTCACGTTTATGCTCTTTCCAGGAAATTGGAAAATCCTTCCCGACAACAAAGAACACGATAAACTCTCCGATCTTATGATGTAGTTCAATGAATTTTGGGAATTTCATGTTGGAAGCATCTTATTTCCTAAGTTAAGCAGTTATCAAATCGTCTTCTTCGGAAGTTTTTTTCTGAAAATTAAAATATTCTTTGAAAAACTTCTCTTCTGATTCGTGTCTGGATTTTTTTTGTGTATTGTAGAAAAAACCTATACTTCATGCAAACATAAAAATTTTCATTGAGGTGAAACAACTTTGTACAAACACTGACAAAATCTGGTGAGTCTGTACAGGTAAAATGTATGCAATGTGAGAAAAAGCTATTGTTATTTGATGTACAATTTTTTTTTCCACTATAAGGTATAGAAATCGAATGAATGATGGTTTGAGATTGAAATATACAGGGCCAGTACTAATTCATTTCGTATGCTCTTATGCAAGCTTCATGGCAGCTGACCAATGTTCTATATGTTGAATAGGTCAAAAAGTATAGAATCTATCAGAAAATTCCAGAGTTGTTTTCCAAAATGATATAGATGATTCGTAATACCATAAGGTTGTCCGTATAATATACGTCAATCCCTGAGTTTGTTGAAAAATTTCACGCATGCTCATCTGGAAGCCACTCGGATAGATTTTTTTTTGTGAAATGTTTATGTGACAACAAATGAAACGGTCTGTTAAAAAATCTCTGTGAATTTTTTTTTCCGTTAACCAGATGTCGCCCCCTTACGAACGACAATTCTCATAAGTCGAAACTTGTGCGAGCTAAGTACTAACAAATCTTATCTTTCCACGTATATTGAGTGTAGTGCTGAATGAAGTCAACTCTAAGATAATTTTCAATATCAGCTCATTCTATGGTTATACTTTTTCTGGTAGCAGAAAAAACAATCACTGCCAAATTTTGATTGAATCATCCTGATCTAGATGGCTGAGTGATAATCATGTATAAACTTCATACTAATTCTACTATTATGGGTCTGAAACAAAAACATTATCATGCACAAATACTATACCAACATACGAATTGAAAAGGGTATATTGTTCTCATGAAACTATGGGTTCTGACATTTTTGGTACCCGTTCAATAAAGACAATACATTTGGTTCACAAATTGTGAGGGCTTACTTGGAGACTGGGGTCTCTAAATATGCCCACTCAATTTGTGAAGTTCGAATATGCTGTTGGTTACCTCGTTCACAGTCAGGTAGGGCGATGACGTTCATGTTTATTATTATTCGGTTCAGCCTAGTTCGAGGAATGATACTCTGAAGAAAATCGATTTTCAATTATCGGAAATCATCGACTTCATGTTGATGATAGGCACTACCTTGCACAGACGAGTGGCTAAACAGCCCGAAACAGGTCTGTAAGTGTGTTCCAATAATTGAAAATCGATTGTGATAGTTGTATCGCCAATAGCTTATGTAGAAATAACTTCAGTGAAGAATCGTGCACTTACACCTGACCGATATAATCCAACGCCCATCATGGTATAAGCCGGGTAGTAGTTGTTTTCTCATAGGTGTCAGTCCATTAACCTACATTAACCTACAATCTCCAAGTGTTGTTAAGTTGAGACTGGTCTGAACAAATGTTTCTTCTAGATAATTTGCTTCATAGCCAGTCTCCAAGTATGCCTGAACATTTTGTGAAGTTTTCTTCCTTATACGAGTAATTGGGCAAGTATTGGATATGCATGGTTACCTCGTTCACGGGCAGATGGGGCGTTGACAAACATGTTGTTTGTCGTTCATTCCAACTCAGTTCGAGAAATGATTCTCTGACTGGAATTGAATTTTCAATTATAGGAAATTATTGAATTCATTTTGATGATAGATACTACGTTGCACAGACAAGTGGTCGAACAGCCCGAAACCGGTCTGCAAGTGTGTGCCAATGATTGAAATTCGATTTTGGCAATTGTATTGTCAACAGCACATGCAGGAATAACTTCAGTGACACCTGTCGGATATAATGCAATGCCCTTTTTAGTATCAGCCAGAAAAGTAGTTGTTTTCCGAAAGGTATCAGTCAAGTAACCTACAGTGTAGTTGAGTTGTGACTGGCCTGAATGAATTGTTTACCTAGATAATTTGATTTATAGCCAGTCTCCAAGTACGCCCACTCAATTCATGTGAAATAATTATTTGATCATAACTAGGTATATTTTGAAGCTGAGAATAACAGGATACAGTGCTGAGAAATTCAGGCAAAGAATACTTTTGAAAGGGTGAATCTGGCAAAATAGAATAATATACTATTAGGGTACACAATTTCGCTAGCTGAAATCAACATCACTTTCTTTTCTGAAATAACAAAGGTAGCCTTTGGTAGCCTTTAAGAAAGTTATATCGCTTCACACAGCTGAAATTAGATTTTTTGGAATATGCTTTGTGCCTATCCTAAAGCTATTCGATTATTTGAAAAAATTATTCGTCTCATTCCAGACCCAAATATAACTAGTAACTTCGGAAGTTAGTATCGTTAGAAGGAGATAGGGCCGGCCTAATTTTTAGAAATCAATTTCATCAATATGGAATTCAAATTCAATGACAGTCGCCACTTCCACACGAGAGGGCATCTTCAAGAACTTCTTCTGTGTTAGTGCATTTCCGAACAAAAGTCATATCCCGAAAAGTATGTTACTCTGAAAGGCTCAAAGTGGATAAATACTCAACTAGATGACCTGTTAATTATTATCAAGTAGAATATCATGTATAAATTTGGCCGGTACAGTAACTCGAACAACAATAGCGGATTTTGTTCCACAAACATTGTCGCCCTTAATCAAGTGTTATTTAAAACTAGGTTATCTTTCTCTAAAACCGGAATGGAATGAGGAACAGGAAAACAATGGAGATAAAGGGGCAATTAATTCAACGAATAATTGGTTCACCGGCTGAGGCGAGAATGGCCCTTTCGAAAAGACATTTTGCAGAAATTTCACTTTCAACCAACGACACAGACTCGCTATAAATTTTCATCTTACGCAAGACGAAGTCCACAGATTAGTAAGATTAAAGCGGAGTTAGAATTGATAGATTACCCAGTGAAAGTAGCAGATAACCTGAACTATTTCAAGGACTTCCGCTAGTATTTTCTTCAGGTCATAAGTTGTTCATTGAAAAATTTAAGTTCAGAAGTAACCTTTTTCATCAATTTTGCATTTGATTCTATTAGAAAGTTAATCTACAGTTCACACTAGATATTATTCCAAAAAAACGTTTTTTTCTCGCAACGTCTTTGAATAATAATAATAATGAAAATCATAATGTGATGATTTTCAACAACATTATTCTGAAGACACCGGCTTTCCTCAGGTCGAAAGGGTTGAATCAGAAATTGAAAGATTCATCATGTCCTGCTAAGATGGTGTTTTCAATACCTCAGCCTACCGCACCTGAAAATGCTTCAATAATATATAATTTCAGAAAACGGGTGAAATATCGAGCTTTACAGCTCGATACACGAATACACGAATATAATGATCATGCCAGTTTGCCGATGTTAGGTCGGACACATTTAGAACGCTACCATTCTTGGTTTATTGCGTCCAATCAGATTACATTATTCTCGGACCAAATGATCACTCCTCCCGTGATGTGGATGTTGATTATTGGTTGGTAATACCGGCGAGCCCCCCGAATGTGCTTTGGTACAGCTATCAATTGGCGCAACAATTTAGGCAAAATAATAATAATGATAATAATAATTATAAGAAGCGTCACGTCCTCCCGAAGGTATCTGGGCTTCGGGCGCATACTTCGGGTAAAAAAAAAATAAAAATAAAAAGTAGCGTCACTTCTCTATGACCTAGATAAAGTACCGCATGTCATTTGATATAACATCGCCTGAGCTCATCTTGCGTTTACTCAGATGCTTCGCGAAACCCGAAAAAATTGTGAGATGTTTAAAAAAACTAATACCACTCTGGCGTACTCGCTTTACTATGATATCTGGTCAGGCTAGAGTCAGAACAGAGTGCGTAACGTGGGGATTTCCTCAATACTCTTTTTTTCTTCATCTTTCTATTGCCATTATCCGTTGCACTCATGCCTCTGGAGAAAAGGATCTCAATCAGTCCTTGAGGGTGGTGGAGAAGCACACATATGCTAAATATGGGGGGAACGAGAGGTGCCGAATTTTTTCAAACTATCCATCCAAAGGCTCATTCAAACTAAGGTGCCCGACAAGTTATTAGCTCCTGGCGTGACGAATATCGTCCGAAAACATGAGAAAAAGCTATGAATGGACTGACCTGTTACTTCATTAATGACACTATCCATCATGACTGAGGAAAATCGGATTGAATATCCAAATTTTCTCTTCGAACTACATACCACTTTGTCAACATTGTTATTTTGATTGGTGGAATCCTTGATAGGATGATACCATCTCTTCACTCGAATCTCAAAATCAGGCAAACTTGTCGTACTGACTCACTGCTTCTTCTTAAGTCACTGCTTCTGCTTAGAGTATATGATTCTTGGACCCCATGATTACTTACCTACTCAAGTAGTTCGAGTAGAGTCTAAATGATGACATGTTTGTGCCTGTTCAGGATTCATAGTGTTTTCCAGTCTTAGGAAGTTGGATGTAGCTCAAATCAAATCTTCTTTGATCACAGACAAACATTCAAGTTTGACATATTTGAGTTGATGAAACACTGTATATATGAATATCACTTCTCCAACACCAGAACGCGCATCGTGCTCACCAAGTTAGCGTCATCAGGAGATCACTAAAACTAAATATAACAACTGAGTTATAGAGCTCATTATATATATCGAGACGAACCATCATCTTTGGTAATTATGGTCATGAAATGAGTGATATGATAAACAAAAAGTATACCTAACTAAAACATTTTTCAATGGCCATCATTACCGTAGGTAAATGTTCTTTCTGTGACTGACTCGGTTGTGTAATTCATTTTCATTTACCACCTGATTCTAACATGGTTAGCAAACCGAGTTCAGATGTGCAAGAAGTGTTTTCAATAGATCTGTTTTATTCATAGGTTCCGATTCATTCTCTCATGATAAATTCCACCAGATTTGAGGAATTATCAAATTACTAGTGATGGTCTGAGTTCCAATACGAAATGTCTACCACTTTCAATTGATAACTTCTGTTTCCGATTACTTTCGGTGAAGTATTCCCAAAATGATACCAATCAGAACGGAAATATCGTCAAGCTTCGACCCGAAATATTTTCAGAAGACAGAATTACTTTCGAACGTAAAATCCAATTTTGTTCACCGTACCCTCCTCATTTATATTACTTCATCTGATCCTTTCATATCGTATAAATATTCACATCTTCCACTGGTTCTCTGTTAATTAGTATTTACATTTCGTTTGGGAAACTTTTTGTTTACACATTTTCCAACTCAATCCCCAGACTCGGTTTTGTGATGAAAAGAAGCTGAATTTATATTAACCACTGACAAATAACGTTTTCAATGATGAAAATATTTCAGTCATATAATTAGGTTCACTGCTAACCACTGAAATGAGAAAGACGTTAATTATTCATTTGAAACATTATTGACTTCAAAAACTTTTTTGTCAATGAACTGAAACTGAAACATACCCATTCGGTTTTCTGTGATAAGTTGATTAAAACCACCTAGAATAAGATACAGGATATTGAACTTCTCAGTGGGAAATTTGGCCTCTTTCGAAATTCCACTGAATAAGGAGAAGAACCCACAAAAGCAAACTCAGTGGGTTAGTCTCTCTGCGGCAAGTATAAACACAAACATCGACATATCTGGTTTTTCGAACTGTCAGGAAAAAAGGGGTTGCTACGTACTAGATTCATTCTGAAAGTTATCAGAAGTTCAGAAAATCTCTACCGTATCGACAGTGATCATTAGGGATAGAAATGCGGAAGCATTTTTCCAAGGCAGCTAGCTGCTTGAGCATCTGATGAACTAGGCTTCATTTTTGAGGTCCTCATTGAAGCCACAGAGATTAATTCATCAATTTTAAAAATTACCTTTTTTCAAAATGATCGCATGTGAAATGATCTAATCACTCTGAGCCGTGGCCTAGATATCCATACTTGTGATTCTCCATAACACATCTAGCAATTTTACTAAATTTGGTGGAGTCCAGTTGAACAATCACCGTATATTCAATTCCGCATATTCACGGGAAATTGCTTTGGTATCAAGATTCTAACATTAAATGTTAGTTTTCTCCAACCCGTAAACCATTTTCATGATAGTTCTGGAAGGCATTTCAGTTTCAAATAGTGAAGTAATGACAAAAGTCATCTGTGATAGAAAGTCACGCGAAAGTTGAATCCATTGGATGTAGTGGAGATTTGATAAAAAATCATGGAAAATTTAACAAACAAAAATATCAGAGATAATTGATGTGTTCAGATCTCCATGTTTCGTATATTTCATCAGAGATATTCTTCAACTCAATTGAAAACTACCATCAATTTCTGGCATTCCTACAGTACGTTATTCTTCTCTTGAATGATTGTCTGGTTAGTAATGATAATTCATGTAACAAGTCAGAAAAATTCTGGTGTTTCGAACGAGTAGAAAAAATTATAGGACAGGGTTTATAGAAGAGTACAAAAATGTTCTGTTCTACTACTTTTGAAACCCTCGTACAGAAAGATGTGCGAAGTATGTAAGTTCTTCGTAAGGAACTTCTTTTTAATTGAAAATTGGAATTACTTCAGTAATTTCTAAATTTCATCGGAAATTTTCAGTTTTGCACTTTATTTTATCTAATTTCTAAAAATTTCACAAGTGAACCTAATACTCAAGTTGGTTTTTTTACAGTACCTCACAAATAGAGATAATTATATTATTCTGTTTTTCCTTTCTATTCACCTCCTTTGTCATGTAATTATGATTTATTTCGGAACTGAATCAGAACTGAAAATAAAAATGGGTAGTACGTGCATAATCCTAGTAGGTACATCATATCAGACTTCCAGTGGTGTATGACAAAATATCATCAACTGTTATAGTTATAAATTCAATTTTCTGTAAGTTTTCTTAGGATCGTACGTTATGCGATATCTTCGCATTCCTTTGCCTTCAATAAACATATTGAAAACTGAGTATTTCTCAACAAAAACGCAGATCAGTAGGATCACGTTCAAATTACTGAATTGTCACCTTTTTAATCAGAAACAAAATCATATCTTTCAATCTCAGTAATATAATGTTCATATATTTCTACATATTTTGGTATTCATGCAACTCATAAACAATTTTTTTTCAGCTCAAGGCGTTTTATGTTGATCTTCTAGTACCTCTCGAGACAAACTTAGAGAAAGACACAAAGGTTGTTCAGGTAAGACTATTCCTCATTTCATTTCAGTCAAAATGAACTAAACAATTAAATATCA